TAACCCTGACACTTTTCCTTTTATGGGTTTCATTTCCCACAGTCCTTTTTTCAATACTCATCACGCATGTAATTACTTGTTCCAGGTCTGTTTACCTCATTAGACTCCATGTGGACAGGGTCTGTATTGCCATGGCCAGGCACTCAGGGTCAGCACAAAGGCACTCGCTGGCCTGGGGCAACTTTGGATTGCAATCCAGCCAGGCGTTATTTAAACTTCACCTGAAATGGAAGTTTGTTTTGATTTGGCTGTATGGGTTTACGTAGGCTACCTGGGGGCCCCAGGGTCAACAAACATTTGTTGAGTGACAACTAAGAATGCTTAGATTTCAAACCTGAAGCTTTAAAGGGAAGGAAAGCCCTGGTGTAAACCTTGGTTCCACTTGTTGCTCAGTTCCAGGGGCACCTCATCTTTCTCTGCACATCAGCTCTGTCTCCATCTTGCTGACACATCTTGGCAGAAACACTGATACCTCCATGGGTTGAGTCTCAGCTTCTTTTTGTTTTTTCTCTTTTTTTAAATTGGCCTTGCAAACGCAAGACCTCAAAAAATTGGGTAAAAACTCAGAATTGTTCCTCTCCACGGAAATCTTTAGTAAAAGGCGAAAGATTTATATGATCTGAAGAGAAACCAGAGTCTCAGCTTTACTTCTTCATTGGTAAAGCTCCATGTGATTTTTCATGGAAGCTGAGTTAAACATGGAGGAACTCACACATTTCTAATCTCCTTCATCTCTGCTCTTTTGATGAGATGGTTGAAAGAACAAGGGAGAGGACCACAAGAGTACATGTAGTACCTACATGCAGGCATCTCGAGCTGAAGCTGCGGTCTTTGGCCACCAGCTTGTGTGAGAGAACACGGGACGTCCTGTGCCTCCCGCTTTGCATGTGGTGTAGGGCAGCCAGCCAACCACCATGCTGGCACCTTCTAAGGCCACAGGTTTAATTCTGGCCCAAACCTGGACAAGCTGATGTTCAGGTCAGAACCCACCGAGGTTCAGAAATGGCTGCCAGGATCCTGGTGAGCAACGTGAGAAGATTAGCCCGTGGATGCCGGGTATAATTCTTCTCTCCCTATATTTCCTTTTCCCCTCCTTCTACCTGTTTGCTCCTCTTCTCATTCATTGATTTCTCCTTCATTTTGCACTTCTCCAATCCATCCCCTTCCTAGCTTCCCTCCACCCACCTCTTTTTGTCCCTCCTTCCACTGCATCCCCTCTCTTTCTGTCTTCACACTTTCTCTCCTGTTTTCCCGTCCCTTTCTTTTCCATTCCTCAATCTCCCTCTCTCTCTTGCTTTTACTCTCCTTTCTCTTCCTTTTGTCTACAACTCACTGAATTCCTATTTCTCTCTGTCTCTTCTCCCCTCTCTTTCTAAGAATTTCTTGATGAAATTAGAACTAAGAGAGGCTCCATGAAATCCTTGGCTGGAAGAAAAGATGGGTGGAAGGGATTCTGATCGTGGGCAGCCACAAAAGTTGATTTGTAGCTGATCTTAAATGTAGGAAAAGATTTTCAATTACAAAACTCATAAAATGTAAGGATGAGGGAAACTGGACTGCATTTAGAATTTGACTAATGGTTTCAAAGTGCTTTAAAAAGTTTGGCATTTGCCAGCCTTCCTTTCTTCCCCTAATCCTAAAACCCATGAGTTTTTATGGGAAATATAATCCTTTTTTCTGATTCATTTACACTTAGCTCATCTGAGTATTGTTTTGTAAAAACCATCTGAAGTCCAAGAAGTTTTATGAGATCTTTAAAGACTTGTGTTTTGAACCAGGAAGTTGTGTACTGCCAATATGAATGGACCTTGAAACCTAGGGGTCTCGGCATTAAACAGGGTCTAAACTTGGCAAAGGCTGGTCCCCATGCCTGACAGAAACTGGGCTTTCATTTTCAGATTAATAGCGAGTTTAGTGTTTTAGATGAGTGACCGTCTCATATGATAGTACATAGGTTACACAACACATTTTTTCAAGGATTATCTTACTAGTTATATAGATAGCAAGAGACTGATGTGGAAAAACTGTGACTTCCCTGGAGTTTCTCATCTAGAGTGGGGCTGCTTGCTTATGTGTATATTACCACATTAATAGTTGTATATAAACACACATGCATACAAATGTATATGGATCATTCACGGATGAGATTAACATTTACACTAGAGATTCTTCCTGTGGTTACATTTCAGAGATTATCTGATTGTAACGTTTCCAAATCTGTCATAAGGCAGGTCGTAATCAGATTGAAGACTGGGGTGAGATACCCACCTCTGCTTTGCTGTGGGTCAAGAGAAAGAAAGATTGTGTTGTATCTTTTTAAACATTTTTTTTCTGCAGAGTCATAGAGCGTGGTTGAGCTCATTGCTGTCCCCAAATGTGAGGATCTTGGGTTGATCTCCAGGCCCTCTGGAAACAGGCTCTCAGGTGAAATGACTTGCTCAAGTTCCCGTGGGAAGTGAAGCAGCCACACTGCTCCAGCCCAGCCCTCTGGATCCCTGTCCAGGCTCTGCCCTCTGCAGGCAGCTGCCTCTCATTGACCGAAACAGGCTTTGATGTATGCCGTCCATCTGAGTCCTGGAGTGCCTAACAAGAAGAGCTCACCCACCACCATAGACTGCAGTCTGGTCCTTTGGTGATGCTGTCCATCACTATTTCCTGAGCTTTCACCTGTCTGACACGTCTTCTTTCCAGCCTAGGCTCTTCAGCATGGAGTTATTGCTTCTAGACACCCCCTGCCCCCATCCACTTCAACTGTTGCTCATAATCCCTACCTGAGAGAGAAAATGTCTGTAGACTGATTTGAGCTGCGGGTAGGAAATGTTTTCCCTATCAGAGAGAAGCAGAGCAGCAGAGGAGTTCGGTTTTGAGTCTGTGGGAGCCGTGGGGCATTCGGTTGGAAGTTACCAGTGTAGGTGACAGCAGCAACCACTAGCACATCTCTAACCACATGCCCCTACATGTTGTGAATTTTCTATGAGATGACAAAGAATTGTGGGTTGTACAGTGACATTGGCCTCTCACAAATCAGATACTGCCTTGGGAGAGTTCGGTTATTATCTCAAACTGTTGCTTTATTTATTTATCTTTTTAAAAAGCTTTTGTTTATTTACATTTTTTCTCTCTAACCAGTTAGGAAGTTTCTCCAGAACAAAAAGGTTGTGCCTGTGATACTTTGTTTCTGCAAAGGGTCAGCCTCTCTGCTTGCCTCAGAGTAGCACTTGGTGAATATTTATTAGCTTGTGCTCTGTCCTTTCTACAGAATCCCAGGCTGGGAGGTAGTTTCTTCACCCACCCTCCTTCCTCAGTCTTCTCAGCTGGTTCCCTTTGGCCTGGCTCAGAGACTGACCTTGAGTGACCTCACTCATCTTGTCCACAGGGATGTTCTTAGAGCCACAGACTCTTAGGGCTGGAAGGAATTTTTAATCCAACTTCTCTGTTGGATTATAGAGGAGGAAGTCAAGGTTCAGAGAGGAGAGGTGAACTGCCTGTGGTCTTTCAGCTACTTAGCGGCAGTGTTAGGACTGAACCGAGGTCTCTCCCTCTGGTCAAATGCTGTTTATTCTGTGCCTGGCTCTCAGAGTGTGTTCTCACATGAAACTGGTGCTCAGGCAGATGGACTGAGACCCTCTCCTGCCAAATCAAATATTGGAGGTCTTTCTCCAATGTACAGAAAAAATAGATTAAGGGATTAAGTTTCTTCAACTTTAAATCATTTTCTATTAATTCTTCTTAAACCATTGTCACCTGCTACCAACTGTCCACTAGCCAATGCGGGGTTTTCTATTGCATTCATGTAATAAAAGCGTGAATGCTGCTGGAGACACCGTTTTAAATTCAAATGCTAGAAGTAAATATGTTACTATTTCATGGTTTCCACCCAAAAGCACCCTGACCCCAGGGACTCTGTCCCCTGGGACATTCTGCATCTCCTTTAATGTGACTTTGTGTCATCTCCAGTGAGTGATCCTTTCCTTTTGGATAGGGGTCCAAGGAACTGATCTGACTTTAAAAAGAGACTAATAATGGCTTGGCGTTGTCATGGATCCTAAACCCTGTATTCCTGTCATAGAGGCCTTTTCACCAGGAGCAGGGCTGCCTGCGGGGTCGATTCCTGTTGCGGTTTTCCCAGTCTACGCGGGCGCCCCCTGCTGCCCACCCTGGTACATGCCAAGAGAGGAGTAGGGTACCAGAAGCTGCACACTCAGAAACAGTCACGCGGAGTTTACAAACCCAAAGGGAACCATCTAAACACTCGATGGACACTCGGCGCACCCCGAGCAGTCCTTTCTGGGGCCCGATGTAGTATTTTAATCCAATACCCGCAGCAAGTATCCGAGCAAACACGGATAAGAAAATGACTGGAAATGCCTTCCGGACAGTATCAAATGAGTCCTGTGGGGCTTCTAGAAGGAAAGGACCGTTCAGTGACTTTGCCGAGTCCTTTGTCCTTTCCCGGGAGACGGGATCGAGGAGCGGGGACCTCTGCCTTGCCGACCCATAGGAACAATCGATGTAGATGTGGAGGGTGGCGGCGTGTTCTCGGGCTCATCTCACGCTTTCCCCAATTAGGATTTACTGCCTGACGTCACGTCTGCCGGAGATTGGCTGTTCAGATCTGACACTCGGTTCCACGGCGAGAGAAACTTTTTAAAGACTTTGCAGCCCGGGCTGCCGCTGAGCGTCCCACGCGCTCACACCCGCCCTCGCCCACTCTCGCCGGGTCCCGGGCGCGGCAGCCCCTGCGCCGGCGGCTGGGCGAGCGGACCCTCACCTTGCGCGGCCCGCGCCCCTCGCCCCTCCCCTCCCCTCCTCCCCGCCGCTTTCGGCCGGGGTCTGGGGCCGTTCAGCAGCCCGCAGGACTTCCTCTCCTGCAACCGAGTTTTCCTCCTCTCCGCCTTTCCCGGGCTCCCGGTTGTTCTCGGGGGAGCCTGAGTGCGCGTGGGCGGCCGCACCGGGCGAGCGGCGCGGGCGGGGGCCGGGGGCGCCGGCTGGGGCCCGCGATGGCAGGGGCCTGGCTCAGGTGGGGGCTCCTGCTCTGGGCAGGGTTGCTCGCGTCCTCGGTGCACTGCCGGGTGCGGAGGATCACGTACGTGGTGCGCCCGGGCCCCGGCCTGGCGGCGGGCGCCTTGCCCCTGGGCGGGCCCCAGCGCCCGCGGACCTTCAACGTCGCGCTCAACGCCAGGTACAGCCGTAGCTCGGCGGGCGCCGGGGCCCCCTCGGAGCGGACTCGGCGTACCAGCCCGCCCGGCGGCGCGGCCCTGCAGGGGCTCCGGCCGCCGCCACCGCCACCGCCACCGCCGGAGCCGGCGCGTCCCGGGGGCTCCGGCGGGCAGCTCCACCCCAAGCCTGGCGGTCACCCGGCGGCCGCCCCGTTCGCCAAACAAGGCAGGCAAGCGGTGCGCTCCAAAGTGCCGCAGGAGACCCAGAGCGGCGGGGGCTCGAGGCTGCAGGTTCACCAGAAGCAGCAGCTGCAGGGGTAAGCCCACACCCTCCCTCCTTCCTCGCGCGCGCCGCCCGCGCGGGGACCCGTGGAGCCGCGGCTCCTCGGAGCCCAGCGGTGGCCGTGGGCGTAGTGCGCCGTCGGTGGGTTGTCTCCTCCCCGCCCGCCTCTGCCTGCCTCGCTCGCAGCGCGGCGGG